GGTCTGTTTGGGGCAGCTGCAGCTTATTGAATAATCTGCTGATAAACTGATTAAAAATAATCTGCGGATAGGCTATGTGCGGTTGTTATTACAAATTTTTATTTTTTTTGGAAAAACCATACTATTGCCAATAAGCTGCCACCACACCTTAGGTGCGGTGTGAAAACACTAATTTCTGCGTTTTGAAAACACATAAGCTGCCAAAACGCTTTTACCCAAACATGCCAGGTGCGTTTTCAAAACACCACCACACCAAATAAGCTGCCCCAAACGGACCCTTTAAATGTATTATCTTTTTGCTGCCAAAACGCTTTTACCCAAACATGCCAGGTGCGTTTTCAAAACACCACCACACCAAATAAGCTGCCCCAAACGAACCCTTTAAATGTATTATCCACACACAATTGCGCCAAACACTTTTCTTCCAGTCGGCACTTGCCTTTAAGTCTCCTCTTGCCAGTTCCCCTCCCTACCTCTCCAGCGCCGGTCACCGGCCTGTTGTCCTCCTTTCCCATTCAAGAATCCTGTCGTCATACCTACTCCTACCTCCTTCCACCTTATTTCCAGCAGTCAGCCCCACCTGCTCTCCCCCACTCCCCTGATCCCAGCCGCCAACGTCCCTGCTGCTTTAGGGTTTTCTGTTGCTTCTCTCTATAAATTTCTCAAGTTTTCGTCGCCGTAAGAATTGGTGTTAGATCTACGCTTTCCGCATCCAAGTCATGCTTGCAGTCGAAGCCCTAGAAAACCTAGTGCAGATTCAAGTCCACTTCATCAATAAGCTTCGAGTGATAAGGAATGCCTTAGTCTCTTTTTTTATCCTTTCTCTATATCCATTGAGAGAGATAGCCTTTCTCACAATGAATCGTCTCATTTCTTTTTTATTATCGACGGATCAAATTGCCTTCTCTGCTATGAATCTGTTTATCCATGCATTTCTAGTTTAAAAGTTTAAAAGTTCCACCACAAATATTCTTTAGGGCTGTAAACGAGCCGAGCTTGAGCGGGCTCAGGCTTGGCTTGTGTTCGGCTCGTTCGAAATAGCTTGTGTTCGAAATCTGCTTGTGTTCGTGTTCGGCTCGATTTAAATATTCACGTTCGTGTTCGGCTCGAAATGGACTCGTAAAAATTAATTTGAAAAAAAATAGATGTAGTGTGAGATTCGAACATGAGGTATTAATCACATTATCACTGATGCGTTATGATTTAATCTTATATATAAATATATATAATATATTATTATATAAATAATTATATATATATTTTTTTATTTCGAGCTAAAACGAGCCGAACACGTGCAAATAAAGAGCTGTTTGTGTTCGGCTCGTTTACAATTCGAGCCTTAAAAATTTGTTCGTGTTCGGCTTCACCAGCGAGCGAATGAGCCGAACACAAGCTATATAATGGGCCGAACATGAGCTAGCTTTTTTGACCGCACTACTACTTATTAGTATTATTACCCGATTAAGGCACGTTTTTCTTGAAGGCGGTCGTTGGCCAGCTTAAGTAAAAGCGTAAGCAGATGACATTTTTTAAATTATATCTGTTAAGCTTCTAGAACAGTCATTACAGTGTCTAATTACAGTCGCTAGACCCGTGATTAATCTACTAATCCTCCGTTTCAGTGCACAGTTCCTCAGATTTCCCCGTTCATCTTCTTCGTTGCCAAGCTTTACCCTATATTGTTCCTCTCATTCATCCCCAATTCCGGTCGCTTGTTTTCCTCTTGATCGAATACTACGATCGGATTTCGCGTTTTTGTAGTTCGATGGGCACTGTGTGGAAGTTTCTATTAATGTTTCTGATGCATCGGCTTCTGTGATCCGAGGCTAGACGGCCGTAGTACAGGCCGAGCAGGAGAAATATTGCACTTTTGTGGCTTTCTTCCCGCAGATGGGTTGCTTCCCTTGCTGCGGTTCTTCGGAGAACGGAAGGGAGAAGAAGGTGGAGGAGGAAGGGGGCAAAGGGGGTTTTAGGAAGGAGCCTGCATCGGCGCTCCCTGCGAACCAAGTGATGAGGGTTAGCTCGGGTAATCGTTTTTTTCCTTGTAATTTGTTTAAGAATCGAAACTTTTAGGAGATTTTTATGATTTAGAGTGAGGTGAGATTTAGTTAGGGTTTATCTTTCTGGGTCTATGGTGTTTTTTTGTGCTTCGGTTTTTGTCTGATAGAAGGGATTATACGTTTGAGAGAAATCAATGCAGGATTATGGAGTTTGTGTATAAGCTTCGTAATGAGAGACGTTTATTCTATTTTAATCGAGAATAATGGAATTGAAGATTGAAGCTGCCTGTAGATGTACAGTTCTCTTGATTCTTCATGTGAAAAGTTCTTGACGTGTTCTGCTCTGGTTGGCAAATTAGGATTTTAGTTGCCATACTCTAAGGCTGCATTGGGAAAAGAGTCAAATTTGACTGGTTTTTTATATTCCAATGTGAAAAAAGGTTCCTCAGCAGTTTCATGTAGTTTAGGTGAATGTAAATTGATGTGAATTCGAAGTTTAGGTGTTAGATATGTGAATACGTAAGAATTGGGCTCAATGTATGTAAACGCCCAAATCTGTTTCAGTGACAATTAATTTATCTGTGTTACTTCTTTTTCCTTCCTTCTTTGAAACTGACCTGCCATATGGAAAATCTGAAAGATCTCTGTCTGATTTGTCCATTTCTATGGATGCTAAATGCCAATCTGTCATGTTTCCAAGTATTGTGCTGATGAAAATCGGTGCCATGTTACTAAAAATTATTATTTTTTCTTGTTTTGTTTGTCGCCAACATTTTTCTAATGTGTGTTTTTTTTTGTTTCTGATTGATTTTATAGAGAAATCTAAGTCACGTAACAGTTCAGAGGCCAAGCAGGAAGCATTAGTCCCCAAAGAAGGAAACGCAACACATATTGCCGCACAGACATTTACTTTCCGGGAGCTTGCAGCTGCTACTAAGAACTTCAGACTAGAATGCTTGTTAGGTGAAGGTGGTTTTGGTCGTGTTTATAAAGGGCGCCTGGAGAATGGACAGGTTATAACAATTCATAATATGATTGGTTAAATTGGTTTTGGTGAATCTGTTTTTTGATTGAAGCAGCATTTTCCTACTAGAAGAAAGTTCAAATTTACTGAATTGATGTGCTATATTGCAATTAAGTTTCTTGTATTTATCATTTTAAGTTTTAAATCCTTTCTTTGTGAATGAGTTTGATAAGGTGACATTGTTTTTTCTTATAACCGGAATATAAAGCCTCTTCCATGGAAGATAGAGAGCAAATGCGTCATTATAGAAAGGGACAATGTGAATGTTTCTTAACTCTTTCAGAGAGTTAACGTATGGAAGAGTTTGGCAAGTCCATCAATGTATCAACCCAAATTTTCCATTTATTTTACATGTCAAATCGTTCAACACATAACCATCAACCCAAATTTTCCATTTATTTTACATGTCAAACAAGTTATCGTTCAACACATAACTAGAGGTGGAAATAGAGTGTCACATTGCTGTGCTCACATAGCCCATCAAAGGGAGTTTAGTTTGAAAGATGAAAACGAGCATCATGCTCTCTTTTCTCTTATTTTAGGTGACATGTCTCATTTCGTAAATGCCTAATGGCGAAGTTTTGTACATCTTTTGTATTTTCATATGGTAAGGCACACATAAATTTTCAAGAATATAAAGCATCTTTTATTGGATGGGATCTGCTTTAAGCCTATATTTTTTTGCTTTAGTTATGGATGGTTTTACTGGACACTTACAGGAGGATGTACCTTGGTGTATGCTTTTTGTTGATGATATCCTTCTTGTGGATAAGACGAGAGAGAAAGCTCAGGAAAAACTTGAATTATGGAGGTCTATATTGGAGTCTAAGGGCCTTCATCTGAGTAGAACTAAAATTGAAGGCATGGAATGTAATTTAAGTAGTAGTAGGTCTAGTGACAAAAATGTAACTATGGGTGATCAAATTATTAAATGGTTGGAATGCTTTAATTCAAAGTGGTGGTGATATTGATGTAAATGCTATTAGTAGAATTTAAGTTGGTTGGTTGAAGTGGAGAAATGCTTCAGGCCTATTGAGTGATAGAAAAGTACCGCTTAGATTAATAAGGAAAATTTTATAAGATGGTGGTGAGACTTGTAATGCTTTATGGCGCTGAATGTTGGCCTTTAATTGAGAAGCATAATGTTAAGTTAAGTGTTCCGGAGATGAGAATGATTAGGCGGATGAGTGGCTTTGCACTTAGAGACAAAATGCAAAATGAATTTATCTGTGATAGGGTTGGTGTAGCTCCAGCGATAGACAAAATTAGAGAGAGTTGTCTTAGATGGTTTGGTCATATTAAATGTCGACCATCTGATGATCTGATTAAGAGAGTAGATGTTTTAGATTTGACATATGTTAAGAAAGGCAGAGGTGCAGAGGTCGACCTAGGAAGAATTGGGCATATTGTATAAAAAATGATCTTAATTTATTAAAATTAGATGATAATATGACACTAAATAGGATGCAACGGAGAAAAAGATTCATGCAGCTGAATGGCTTTGTTGTTGTTATTATTGTTGTATAAAGCATCTTCTGTAGAGAATTCTTATGATGCATCCACCTTTACTTTGAATTCTTTTTTCTGTTCACTTCTTTGGAATTTTCCTCATGGGATTTTTTTTTGAAATTATTACATACCAGAGAACGATGAAATGTTATTTTTGATAGGTTGTGGCTGTGAAGCAGCTAGATAGGAATGGCCTTCAAGGAAATAGAGAATTTTTGGTGGAGGTCCTCATGCTTAGCCTGTTACACCACCAAAATCTTGTCAATTTGATTGGTTATTGTGCTGATGGGGATCAGCGCCTTCTTGTTTACGAGTATATGCCTTTGGGATCACTGGAAGATCATTTGCATGGTTAGATTTTATGCTTGTGCCCCTAATTTGATTCTACATTTATAATTTTTGAACTATGTTTGTTTTACATTTTTATCTTAAGAATTTCAAGTTCTATGAAAATCAATGTTGCTTAAAGGATTGTTTAGATTAAAGTTTTCCTTATGTTCATTGCCGCTTTAGTCGGTGTTCAAATTCCTTTAATTGTTGCATTAACTTAAATGATAGAACTGGGCTCAAAGCCCCTGCTATTAGTTTCAATTGCTGCCCCACATCTTATAATCCAATTTTATTCCATATTTTTTCTTTCCAAGTTTGCATGTTTTTAGAAAAGACAGATTTTAGCATAGTTTTATATGTTACAAATGGTGTGCTACAGTATCCTTCTCACCTCCTTTCATTTAGGCGGAAATTTAGTTGGGAGGTTTAGCATAAGAAGCATTGTATTTCATTTATTGACATATGTGTTTGGTAACCTTATTTTTCTGCTTCGTAATAATGATTTTTCTCATGTTTTTCTAGCTAGAGCAATTACGATGTTGCTACCATTTTAGTATTTAACCTTAGTGTTCGTTTGGATTTTTATTTTTTATTTTTTATTTTCTGCTTTTTTTAAAGTTCAGAAAATATTGATTTAATTGCAGTTTCTAAAGTCAATGGGCTTGTTCATTGAAATTCAAGTAACATATTTGAAGTACATTCATGTGTTTAAAAAAGTATTTCCATAAATCAAGCTCTATACTACTTTTATATTCTATAACTCATTATCATCATTGCCGTTAAAAACATCATTTACCATTTCCTAATTATTTGGAGTTGGCTTTATGAATCCTTGTTCTTCATTCAATACATATCTTGTTGAACAATATCTTAGCTCTATTTTTTTCAAATCATTTTACTCAACTTTTAATCACGTTACATCACTTTTATTTTACTTTATGCTTATCCTTCTCGTTTCTAATTCATACACATAAATTTTTTCTACCTTTTATTGGCGCATCTTTAATTCGTCATTGTACATATCTAACCCACATAAATATATTTTTCACAACCTTTTATCCAATAGGTGTTAGTAACCATTTTTCATTTCTTAATCTATCATTTCGAGTTTTACCACATTTATGCTAGGGGTGGTTTGTTTTGCTGTAAAAGAATGTAATGTAAAAGACATTTAGTGTATTGAAAAGTCAATACTGTTATTTGGATAATACATTATAAATGCATGGATTTATAAGTTTGTGATTGCATGAGTACAATGAATATACTGAAGAAGGAATGCAATGTAAAACTTTGGAGCAAGAATTGACGACGACGGTTGGCCCGTGGTGGTTTGTGGTCGCCAATGGTGGCGGGTGCAGTTGCGGGTGGTGTGAGTGGTGGGCTGGGGTGGCGGCAGGCAGAGGCAAGCTATTGGTGGTTGGCAACAAATGACAATTGCGGAGGAGATCGACAGTTGTGGCTGTCTACTAGTTAGTTGTGATGTCGCAAACTGTCATAATTTGTAATGTATTTGAAAGTTGCCCAATTCCAACAAATTTTAAATACACGGGAAATGAATTAAATATTGTGTTTGAAATTCATTATAATATTACACAGGATTCCATATTTCTCAAATCAAATACCCAAACTTTCAAAACCATTACAATTGGAATGTAGTACCCCTCTTTTGCAACAAACCAAAAAGCTCCTTAGCTTGTTGATTCTTACCACTCTTAAATTAGTCCAACGCTTTGGATTTATGTAGCTTAACCAAACTAAATGTTGTTTTATGAAATTTAAATTCAAGCCTCCAATATAATCTCTTATTTGATGGTACACTTGAGGTACTTCTATGTTTTAACAACTCAATGCTATGAAATAGTTTAATCTATATCCCCATTTTCTAAATAATTAATTACACATGCTTATATTGAATACACCTTTAAATCACTTGATCATGATAATATTTCCTAGTAGCTATAATTTTATTCTCACTAAGATTTATTAGCATATCTTAAAAAAAAAAAGCTAATTAATATCTATGAGAATATAGTACAAATTGTTTTCAAATTAAAAATTATAATTACAGATTTATTTTCAGATGCTATAGTAAAAAGAACATTAACAAAATAATTAGTTAGAAATAATACTCTTTGATACATTTTCAATGTATATTAAATAAATCTCAGAACCAAATATATTATATAATTAATATAAATCACAAATAGTTACTTTCTTTTTTGGGTAATTTACTTATATAGAATCTATAACTATTAAATTTCTATATCTCACTCTCAAAGTTTGTTATTTACATATTTAGCACTTACAATATTTTTAAAAAATAACAATTCGTTAAATACCTAAAAGTCGTCACATTGCAAGCTTTGCCTATGCCATTTTTGGAGTTTGCTTGGTCATCGATGGAGATGTTAAGTAAGGTGACAGAGCTAACAAGGTCATCATCAGAGCTTACAGGGCGCCCATTGATGTGGTTATGAAGACGATGTCGATGGAGATGCCGAGGAGAAATGAGGGGGTAGTGAGATGGGAGCCGCCGATGAATTCTTACCTTCATGAATTAGAATATTTTATGTGATTGAATCAATGATGATTAATAATCTCCCTTGCTGCATTCTATTGATCTGCCACAATTAGATTGATGAATTAATGATCAAAAAGCAAAAAATCAATAGCCGAATGAAAACAAAGGTCTAGTCTTGTTTTCTGACCCTCAACACTATTGTAAACCCATCCATCTTTTTCAGATCATAAGTACACATTCTAAGAAAACCACTAATAATCATTTCTAGTCATTTATCCAATGCTAAGCCATTTTTCCAACGAGATATTTCAAATTAACCCAAACTGACCTAATCCAGACTACTTTTTGGTATTTTAGCCACCATTTTCTCCAAAATCTTTTAACATTCCACCAAAACCTCCACATCAAATTTTTTTACCTAACACACAAATTTTAGTATTTTATCTCATCTAAAGGCCACCCATTTCCATCATCCCTCTTTACCTTCATCCGTTTCATCCCAGAAAAACTGTACACTCATCACGTGAGCGCGACTCACAATGTTTTAATTGATCATTTCTGTCTTGTTTGCTTTGTTTCTCAGGAACCCGAAACTATTCAACTATGAAAAGGGTACGCGATTAGTCTTCATTGTTTTTGTTTATGTCTTTGTTTCCTCTCGTCATCTTTGTCTCTCTTTTCCTCTCCCTTTCTTTCTTATTTCTCCTTTCACCTCTTCTTAAAGAAATGGTTCCCCCATTCCCTTTCTCTGTAATAGTAACATTAGTATTACTAACTTAACGATAATTAAAACTGGACATTACAATCTTCTCAACTTAAAAAAATTCATCCTCAAAACTTACAGATCATAGCTCTGTTTATGATTATACACCTTATTACAAATTTTTAAATTTTATATTAAAGTTTTCCGTTAATTATCATGTTGTCTCTTCCAATACTATTCATATTACTTAATTTAAACCTTTCAAAGAAAATAGATATTTATATTCATCTTGGCTAAAATTTGTTTGATTTCAAAACAAGATACAAAAAAAATATAATGTTATATCTCACTATTTCAGGTTATTTTTTGAAAAAAGGGTTTAGAATGCTTATAATGGAATTCATATGCATTTACATACCTAATAACTCAATCCTTATATTTAGTTATATAACACTATAATATCTAAATTTCATAAAGAATAACATGCCGTTTGGAGATTAGGATGCTTTATAAGCAAATTTAAAGATTGAGGTGTCATATATATATATATATATATATATATATATATAGGTAAAAGTCCCCACCCCCAAAATAAAAACTAATCTAACTGTATTCACATAACAACTGAACGATTCTTGAAATTAATAATTTTTTCCTTGAATGATTTCATTGGTAGAGCTAAAGCTCCATAATCTTAATTTGTACTCTGATGTTATAACAGCCTTTATTGGGGCAGAAATTGAATCTTAGGTGTGTTAACTTATATATATTTTTGGATTTATTTTATTTTATTTTTATATTTTGCTTATTCTTTAAGCTGAAATAAAAGTATTTTTTGTTTTTTTGTTATTTATTATTTTCTAAAACAAAGTGCAAAAATATATTTGTTTTGTCATAGCTTTTAGCTTGTCTTAATAATAAAGTGGCTGTTTTTGATAACCCAACGTTTACTTGTACGGTGCCGATATTAAATTAGAGCAAGACCAATATTATAGAAAAGAATATTACTTATAATTTAAAAAATTTTATATAAAATGTCTCAATAATTTTATTGTGATAAAAAATTCATTTGACTGGTGATATTCTAAACTTTATTATGTGTATGATTCCAAAATTCTCTTGCAATATAGTCATGAAAAAGAGTAATATATTTTAGTCGAGATTGTGCAACATTAACATTAATGATATTGTGTGGTCCACCATTTGATTTAGATTCTTTTCATTATTGAGTATAAGATTCTTATTTTCAGGCATCTCAATTAATGTAATTTTTCAAGATTAGTTCAAAAATCATGTAATGTGCAAATGCGTTGACAATATTTTGTTTTGTGCATGCTATAAGGGTGCATTTTGTTAAGCACTGAAATGTAATTTTTAGATCTCCGAAGAATCACTTAATGGCATTTCACAGAGAAGAATGTTTTATTTAAAATATTGTCTTTAATGTTTAGTCCTTCACTGCTCTCATAATAATCACACAAATGATAATAGGGTCCTATATGTGGTGACAATAGTCTAGCATATTGGCATGTTGTGAATCAGTCAAGTAATACTTTTCTGTTTCAAATGTATTTGTCCTGCTAATTAAAAAAATGCTATTAAATAACATTTTCATACCTTCAAATGTTATAGTAAAGTTTAATTGATGATTTGACATGTCTTAAAAAATACCCTAGTATCATCTGTATGAGATTAATATTGGATATGAGCATAAGGCATGAAAAGTATAAATCGAAGCAAACATGGTTAAAATGTGTCAAATGACTTGCTAACATAAAACTCATGACAGAAATTAATAATAAAGAAAATTAATAACTTTCTGCTAGTTGTTTCAGTGGGTTCTTTTGCTATTTTGTTTCATTAGTAGAAAACCACTTATTTTGCACCTTCCTTCTTCCTTAATTGCTGTTCATAAAGTTATTGAATGTATTCGGAGAATTGAGTCAAAAGAATTCCATCCTCATGTTGTATTGATGGCAAGATAGATAAAAACAGAATTATACAATTAGCATTACAATGAACAAACTTAGGTGCTGTTTGGTTTGCTGTTTTAGTGGTGTACTGTAAAGTAAATACTTAAATTTTAATAATTTTAATGTTTTGTATGCTGTAAAATAAAATTATTGTGAATTTAAAGGGTATTTGACAAATTTAATGCTGCGGGAAACCAATAATAATATACTTCCATATCCATATCAGGAAATAAATTGACAACCAAATATAACCAAGTTCGTTCTTTATGAAAAATAATTTCGAAATGAATTTCCAAAATGCAATGCACTTTATACAATTATTATGTACACACTTGACCCTAAGCATAGGTTATGCAAAACTTCATTGAATATTAAAACATGAATCTGCATTGCTTGAGCAAATTACTAAATAAGTTTAACGTCTGGAATGGTATTGAAAAATTTGATGCTAAAAAAAACATCTGCCATCATCTGAAAGTTAGAATTGAACCCTTAATTTTGTATTTGAGGCATATGAAGACCATTTCCATTCACATTGATTCTTTCTTTAAACTTCTGCAAAGCCTTAGCATAGCGCAATTCATCTAAATTTTCAATCAAATTATGAAAATTCATGTATTCAATCAATAAAGATGTTGCCGATCCATTCCATGCTCATTGTTTTCCCATTATGTTTGCTTTATCTTTGAAACTTTTAATCAACTCATGTAGCATACTAGCAATGACCTTTGAAATGTTTATTTTTTTTGCATGTTTAGAAGGCAACTTTCATTTAAGCTTAGAGTTTCCTTGTTCTCCTGATCCGTAGGGCTTATGTATGACTTCATTTCACTCTTTCTATTCTTTTCTTCAGTGTTTAAAGGGAATTTGGGGGGTATATGTTGAATATTATTCTATGCAATGGTGTCACCATAACTATGACAAAGCCACTGAAACATCGATCATGCTTTCCTGTGAAATATTCATACGCTTTTGTTTACTATTTATTACTAATCAAACATTATTACTCTACATGGTTGATATTTGACATAATATATTACTAAATAGTAATATATATCTCATATAAATTGAATCAAATATTTTCTGCAGCAATTGCTTGACATTTGGTGGAATAATTTCGTTTAGCAGATTAGGAAAGTCTTTCTAACTACACAAGTACTAGACTTATTTCTCAGTTGATTTTTTTTTATATATTTTTTTATTGCTACTTCATAGCATTGCATAATGCATGACCTAGTTGTTGGGAGAAAAGTAGTTGTTTGTCTTTTTCCATCCATGACATCAATTTTAATGAGTTGCATAAAAATTTACTCATTTTTGGGATCATTGTGGCTCGTACCAATCTTAGTTATATCATTATCTTATAAATTTAAATATAAAGAAGTAATGTATCATTTGTTGTCTCCTCAAAGGGAATATTATAAATAGCACAAAGAACTATGTGACAATAATTCTTAATATTCTTCTCTATATTTTTAGATACATTATGGATGTTGAGAAAGTCATTCGTTGGTATTATTTTTTGAAGAATTACTAAATTTCTATCGAGAGCAAACATCAATTGTTAGGTTTTTGTGGATTATCATCATAATTGCGTCATCATGTCTTTTGTGATTTCTTTTTATACTGGAGTCCTATTTTACGTTTGAGCATGAGATGAATTGCTGCTTCTCATCAACCAGTTTGGAGCAGGAAATCTTTTTGTTTTCTTTTAAACCTTCTCGTTCTTAATACTCTTCTTTTGAATGTTGCAAAAATTATCTGTAGAAGTGGTGTTAATGTTGAAGTGAACCAAGTTCTACATCAGATTCGTTGAGCTCCGCAATGCATATTGAATCAACAACGGCTGGCTGAGTTGTGAAGTACCGTGAACAACTTCGATGATTCAAGATTTATTGGAGGAGGTGGTTTCAAGAAACATGTATAGGTCAAAGGGAAATTTGAAAGAGATGGTATAGAGAATATTATATTTTGTTTTATAAAATCACAAGATCACAAAATACAGGATAAAAATTCTTGATACAGAAGTTTATTCTCAATAGTACATAGAACACTTTAAAAATTGCATTTCTATGTTTGGAGGAAGAGCTGAAAGGGAGGGAGTAATGATCAAGAGAGGAGCTGAGATTGAAGAAGCCTATATAATCGAGGACATTAAGTTGTTGAGAAGGTTTCGACAATTGACATTGTTAAAAGGAGTCATGATTGAAGGAGCCAACTTGATAGATGGTGTTTAGATATATAGTAGGCTCCGACAAATGACGATGTGAGAGTTGTTATAGCCATAAGAAACATATTTGAATGTTTTTAGGTTTTTGGCGGTATTGTGAATGCTAGAATTTAGGTGAGTGTAACATTTAAGTTATATGTCATGAAAGATTTTTTAGGAAAGTAAAAACATTTAAATGTTATTTTCAATGTTTTATAAAAAAACAATTTATTATTTTTAAATTAAGTAAAAAAAAAGAAGACAAGAAATGCAAACATACTTTTTGTTGCTGACATTTAAATGTTATTTTCAATGTTTTATAAAAAAAACAATTTATTATTTAAGAAAAGAAATGCAAACATACTTTTTGTTGCTAACTATTTTTTAATAAACAAATGTAAAAAAAGTTTAAAATAAAAATTGATTCCATACAACCTGTTAGAGTTTAGTTGTATCACAATTTTATCCTTTTTATTTTAAGTGCTCCTACATGTTAGCTTTTGTTTCATATTTTATTGTAGAAAGTAAGATGCTATGCTATGTGAGCCAACCTTTTTAATGTAGTTTCTCTTGATTGTAGATAGGTTTCCTTCTTTCATTTAAGTTCCTAACTTTTTGCGGCAGCACTTTCCCACATTTTCTTCTTCATTTGGATTCATGTTAATGCCAGAAAAAAAACACCATAGCAGTAGCAAGTGTGGCCTAACAGTAATATGGCGGAAGGCTAATGGAGGACAATGCTAATGCAAGCCTACTGTCCGTGACAAGAGCAGTAATAAGGGATTCATTGGACAAAAAATAGAAGGCGACACAACATCAACAATAAAGGAAGAACCTGAATGCATGGTAGTACAAAGCAACGTAGAATTGCAAAACATAGTGTACCAAATAAATTGAAGAAAGAAATATATAATAAAATATTTTTTTTAGAGTTCTCTCAATCGACTTGATATCATATTTGCATTGAATTTTTTGACATGATGACAAAAATCTTGATTGATAATTGTACATGGCTATAATAGCACGCATGCAAAAGATCACATTCAAATAAGTAATACATTGTTAATAAAAATGTCTTCTCACAAGAATTTAACATCGAGTATTGAATTAGATTGTTTGGCTATTATTTAGATGATCAAAATAGAGTGTAAAAACAAAACTAAACTAACCCAAATTTTACCTAAAAAAGAAATATTACCTATCAAAATTTAAGATTTATAAGAGAAATCAATCTGACTAAGACTGTAGATTAGATTTTATCTATGATATCATAGTTGGCTAATTTTTAAATTAATACCTTTTTCTGTTGAAGATTAGTGGTAGCTGCACATTTCTCTTGAAAGGCTAGAGTTTTTTTCTCTACCCAATTTTGTTGCCTGTCAGTGATAAATTTGATGAGAAAAATTGTTGACACTCTTCGGATTTCAAAATTGACTACATAGGTTATTTACAATTATTTCTATTTTTCGATTAATTTACTGTGTTATTGTGTCTGTTTTTCCCCTTTTGATTTTGAATAGATTTCCTAAACAATTAGTTGGTGAATTAAACAATCAATAGACGCTAAGGTCTATAACGAAACACACGATAGCTATTAAAATAAAAATTCTAAGAATATCATTAAAAATAGAATCCAACACAAACTATCATAGTTACATCCCATCCCTAAACATGAGTGTTTAGTCCATCTTCTCCTCAACCCCCTCTAAGAAGACTAACACTAGTGCCACTGGGGCTTCTCAAATTGATTGCAGAAAAATGGTGCGTTCGAATAAGTGTAGCTGCTCTTCTAAAATCCTTGATGGGTAAGAGAACGATGTTTTTCCCCTTTTTCGTGATGCATAAGTGATCTTGAATCCATTGTGCTGGGTCTTGAGATTGAATTACCATAGCCTCCCGACAGGATGTCGCTGACTCCATTTCACACCACATCTGGTCCTGCAGTTGATCGCAGATGAAAAACTCTACTAGGCACTGGTGATACACTCATATCTCATTTCCTTTCTTCAACCACGTCAGAGGATAGTGCTGGGAGTGTTTCTACGTAGCCAGATCCAACTTCATCACTATGAAAGCAAAGATTACGTTCTCATAGCTTGTTCCGTCAATGATGAAGTTGTAAACTTTTCCATACTATACACCTGGTGTGGAGATACCGTGCCTCAAACATGAGTGATTCCTCTATAGTTCCGTCTACAGAACTCCACTTACAATTAGCATTTCTCCTTCATTTTCTTGGAGTTGGTATTCCTCACCCTGGTCCTTAGCTGTTTCTTCATCTCTCACTTCCTCTATGACACCTTGCTTGTTGAAGGACATCGCTTGGCTCGTCGGGCAGCTGGATGCCATGCTGCCATATCCATGACATCAAAAGCATTTTTGGACTGGAACTATATCGGGCGTGATGCTCTTCTTAGGTGTTTTTTCCCACTTTGATTTGTTTTGTCAGCACCATGTCTCGTCCTTCCCACTCCTTAAGTGCTCCTGTTTGGTTCTCCCACTATAAGGGTTGTTTGAGCGGGTACCTCTGCTGCATTTGTTGTCTTTCCACCTTTAGTGCTAAGGTTTGCACATCCCTCAGTGTCCAATAGGCTTGCAGTTGGACCACGTTACTGATGGCGGGCTTCAGGCCTCCCAAATACTTGACTATGGAGTGCTCCTCTGTCTCTCTCAATTCACATTTTAACTTGAGCTACATAAATTCTACCTTGTATTCCTCCACTGATAGCTTTTTTTGCTGTAGGTAGTAGAGTTTCATGAAATTATTCTGGCAGTAGTGAGGGGTTAGGTACTGCTCCTGCATCACCTTCTTCATCTTATCCCAAGAAGTGATTTTTGCCCGTCCTCTCTGTATTTCCCTTTTAGGTTTTTCCATCACGAAGAGGTATTTTTTGTAAGCTTGATGGCGGTGAGATTTACTCTTCTGTCATCATGCACATTCTTGTTTCCAAAGATTTGCTTAACAGTCCGCATTCACTCAAGAAAATCATCTGGATTCATCCTCTCGTTGAAGTTCGGTAGGTCTACCATAACTCTCAAATTTTTGTGCTCTTCAGCACGTACTTACTCCCTCAGCCTCCTCTTATACTTTTTTTCGAAACGCTCGGGCCGATTCTTCTTTTTCTTCTAGTCATCCCTATGAAAGGGATTCAACTGCTCTTCCGTTTCTCCATGGATCTCACTATTTCGGTCAATTGTGACCTCTCCCATGGTCCTTTTCTCAATGACCTTGGGCTATTGAAGCACTTGGCGGAGTATTCGCTATATGTCGCCCATGGTAAAGTCATGGTCAAGTTTCGATAGTTTTCTTTTTGACGACATGGTTATGATTTAGGGGTGGATGAGTGGATGGAGGTGTCTAGTGTGTATAGGTTTGAGGAATGAAAAATTTGAGTGATGGGGTGGGGGAGGGGGGGGGGG